ATCCTCACGGCTTGGAACGTAGCATCCACAAAGACCTACGCTCCTCATCGATCGTCATCAACACATCCCTGTCGACCGATACTTGCCTACCACAGTCGACCGAGACACCTTCAACGTCGACCAATACTCTCACCGCCACATCGCTCGACATCAACAACCTTTCGTCGACCGATACCCTTAATCAGAAATCGATCGATATACCTCATCTTACATCGATCGATACTAACTGGCGAGACATGTTAGCGCCTATTATTCTCACTACCGATGAGAATGGAGACCTGCGTGATCAAGATGGTCACCTGCGTGATCAAGATGGTCACCTGCGTAATGCAACAAGTCAGAAGCTGAACGCTCAGAAGGAGATCATACCTGAGCAAGAGACTGCACCTGTAGGCATCATTCAACCTGTAGAAGAGGCTAACCAAGCTAGATCTTTGGCTGACTACAACCGTCCAGATCAGTTCTATTCCAACCAATCAGCCATCCGCCCTCCTGCTATTCAGAGAGGAGATTTCAAGCTTAAGCCGCAGTACTACACCCTTGTAGGACAAATACCCTTTTGTGGGTTGTCCAATGATCATCCTATGGACCATCTGGAGAGGTTCAAGGATCTCATAACCGTCATAAAAGCCAATGGAATCCTCAAGACTATCTTCTCTGCAAGCTTTTCAAGTACTCTCTATCTGGAGAAGCTTTGCAGTGGCTTAGAAAACTACCACCAGGTTCTCTCACAACCTGGAGCGACATCAAGAACGCATTCCTGCGTAACTTTTTTGATGAGTCACGCGCTGAAGAATGGAGGAAAACGTTTGCTACATTCACTCAGAATCCTGAAGAGTCATTCAAAGATGCATGGAACAGATTCAAGTCCTACCAAAGAGATTGCCACACCATGGTTTCAATAGAGTGCAACTCCTTTTCACTTTCTACAGAGGCATCACATTGGACTATCAGAGAGCTCTTCATACAGCTAGCGAAGACAACTTCAACACCAGGAATCCACAAGAGGCTATGAAGCTCATTGATAATTTAGCTTCCAGCAACAGCACTAAGAACTTCATGAAGACAAAAGCTACATCATTCCTTGGAGAGGAATATATCAATGAAGTACAAGCAAAGCTGGACACCATTCAGAAGTTGATAAACAAGCAAATCTGTTCAGTGGAGGACGCATAGACTGCAGGTGAAGATTATATAGAAAAAGATGTAAACTGGGTCAGTGGAGCTGGTTTTCAGAGGTCTGGTAACCAAGGAGGATACATAAACTACACAGGCCATAGAAGCAACTTCAATTCACAGAAGCCCAACACCTTCAGCAACAGCAACCCCAACAACAACAGGAGCTATGGAAACTCATTCTACTACAATCTTATAAGTGTAGTCATTTGCAGACAAACCAAGCTGCTTAAGCTACTGGAAAAGAGCCACCACCATATCAGTTTTGTCAAACTCAATCAAACGGTTCATCAAGAAATTGCAGGACTTAATACCTGGGACACAACCAAGATGTTTACTCCGGTACATGAAATTGATAGCTTCGTCGAACATGCCGAGACTAACATAATCTCTAACCACGGCACTGGAGACTCGAGCTAAGAGGAAGGAGAGTTTATGCAGAGAATCAATTTTTGTGTAAAACCCTAAACCCAATGAATCTGCTGGCCCTTGAGTATTATTGTGTAAAGATATTCTAAGAAGTATTTTTTTGTCCGAAACACCATTTTCTAAGGATTTGATTACCGAATCAGACACATTGTACTCTTTTTTAACAACATTAGACACATATCACTTGAGGGGCACTTCCTTCCTCTTTCCCCCCATGTGTTTATACAGAAATGCCCCTTTGCTTTGGTTAACCGCAGGTGAAGTTTTTTATGTCTTTGTTCTATTTTATTAATATAAAACTTTGTCTGCTTTATTCAAACCGAGAGAAAAAGAAAGTGTTGGTGTGTTTCCTTAAATGAGACAGATAGGAACCGTCGGATGGACATCGATCCAATGGTGAGGGTTGTTGTGTTTGTAATTAGTAGGTAAGGTGATTAATGCATGAGTCAGTGTCTCGAAGGCGCAGAAGAAGTAGCTCTCCGCCGGTGAAGAAGAGAAGTCTGGTTAGGGTGTTTAGTTTTGTAAAAATCACCTTCACTAGTAAACAACTCTGTTAACAAACTGATATCTAAATTTTGTCGTCAAAATGACTTTTCTGTAAGGATTTTGGAAGGAGTCAAGAACGAGGATGGACGAGCAGTGCTTGGTCTTAAGCAGCGAGTGGGTGTGTGGAGATGGAGGTAAATGGGATTTCATCATCGAGAAACATCGCATGGGTCGTATGGTGCCCGTATACGATGGCATTGGTTGTCTGGAACTTGAACGCAGAGTACTGCAGGAGTTTGGAGTGGATGAAACTCGTTTTGGTGTTGCTTTGAGCTACTGGCCACCTACAACTATTGAGCTTGCAACAGGGATTAGGACTCCACCTGTTCTGATTACAAGCGATGGGACTGTGAAGTATTTCTGCAAACATATGAAAGTGAAAGGGGATATGAACTTGTTTGCGAAGTTCGAAGAGAAACCCAGATGTGTGGACGTCGGTAATGTGGACACTGATGTTGCGGACGATTCAGGTTTGGGTTTTGTGTCACCCGAAGCAGCAAGGTTTTTTCTTCTGGGTCATCTAAAAAGGGTTATGTATCATCTGGTTGGTCTAAGACAAAGGTTATTAACCTTGTGGAAGATAAAGATTTAGTACGAGAAGCTGAGAAGGTGGGAGGAAGAGTGATGAGCTGTGAAAGAGTAAGAGGAGAAAGCAGTGATGGTCTTGATGACAGTGGTTTCAGTTATGGAGGTAACAGTGTAGAAGATGTTGGTTTGGAGGAGATGGATGTAAGGCCAAGAGGTTACGACTCAGAGATTTGGAAGCCTTTATTAGATGGAGACTACGGAGGTTCAAATGCTGTAAATGTTGTATTTAATGAGGATGAGATTTTTGCAGGCCTAAACAAAAATTCAGGACCCAGGACGTATGTTGAGGTAGGTGGGTCAAGCAGTGGTAACAAAGAAAACTCACCGAAGCCAGAGGATTATAATCCTTGGATGGGAGGTGTTAGTGATGGTCATGCTGGTGTTAACATTGGTAGTCCTCATGCCCGAGAACTCGGTGATGTTGATGATGAGGAGTTTGATATTCCTCCAATGTTTGATGACACTGAATATGATGTGTCTGAAATTCCTGATATGGATGTTGATGAACATGACAGTGAAATAGCTGTTGGGAAAGTGTTTGGTAGCAAGGAAGATTGTCAGATTGCGTTGGCAATTTATGCAATAAAGAAGCAGTTTAAGTTCATGCAAACTAGGACTAAGGTTGATTCTTTTGTTGTGGAGTGTCCCGAAAAGAGGTTTGATTGGCGGGTAACGGCTCATGAGATTCGTGGGTGTGGTTACTATGAGATAAGGAAGGCTCAACTAGCTCATCTCTGCCCAATTGAATACAGACAAGGTTACAAGAGTAGAGCAACATCTCGTGTCATTGCGGCAGTGTACAAAGCAAAGTTTGGGAACCCCGGGAAGGCTCCTGTGGCTCGTGATTTGCAGAAACTTCTTCTGGAAGACCTACGTGTGAATGCTTCTTATATGACGTGCTATAGGGCTAAAGAGAAAGCTATACTTGGAGTGCGTGGTTCTGATGAGGACGCATATTTGAAGCTACCAGAATATATGCACATGCTTCAGTTGGCAAACCCGGGTACAATTGTAGATTTGCTGACGGATCTAGACAACGAGGGAGATGAACGCTTCCTTTACTTGTTTCTTGCATTTGGGGCTTCGATTAGTGGGTTCAGGAAGCTGAGGCATGTGTTGGTGATTGATGGAACCCATCTTAGCGGCAAGTACAAAGGAATTCTCTTGACAGCTAGTGGGCAGGATGCTAATTTCCAGATCTTCCCTCTCGCCTCTGCAGTTGTGGACGTTGAGGATGAGGATTCGTGGACGTGGTTTTTGCAGAAAGTAGAGAGGATTTTAGGAGATTCCCTTACTATTGCAATTATATCTTACAGGGCGGTGCCCATCTCCAATGCTATGAGTATCCTCAAGCGAAGCATGGAGCTTGCATAGTACATTTGGCCAGAAATGTGAATTCAAGGTTTTCAAGTAAGCACTTAGCAGAGTTGGTGACGAAGACAGCGATGGTGCATGTGCCACGTGAGTTCAAGGAACTTTATGGGAAGATAAGGGCCACTAACAGTGCTTGTGGGGTGTATCTTTGTAAAATTGGTCAGCAAGATGGTCAAGAGTCAATTTCCCGGGTGAGAGATATAACATTATGACTAGTAATATTGCTGAGCAGCTTAACAATGCGCTATTGGAAGGGAGAGGAGCCAACATTATAGAGTTGATAAAGTTCATTCAGAGAATGATGACAAGGTGGTTCAGTGCGCGTAGGAAGAAGGCGGGGAAACACAGTGGCGCAGTGAGTATAGAGGTGGACAAAGAGATGACAAAGAATATGGCCACTGTTAAAGGAAGTTACATTAACTCTGTGAATGAGTGGACTTCTCAAATCTTGGGAAAATTTGGGAGGTCAGACAAAGTAATGCTAGCAGAGAAGAGGTGTAGTTGTAAGTATTTTGATAATATCAAAATACCTTGTGGACATGTTTTCTTTGGAGTTGTCTAGTCTTGTTGGTCTTGTGAGTATTCGTATTGTAAGGTTATGAATTTGGAGTAGTCTTGAATTTGTAAGGTTTAAATTTGGGTAGGTTGTGGAGTTGGACACACATTTAACATAAAAGATTATGTAAGACATGTGAAAAGGATTACTAATTGTGACAAAAAATAAATTAGTTGGAATCACAACATATGAGAACAAGTTTATCAAGAAGCAGAGACATTACAAAGCATTAGTTTAGAATCTAAAGCATTCATTTCACCTAGAGTAGTTTAGAATCTAAAGCATTAGTTTGCATAAGAAAATAGGACAATTGAAAATGACATTTAAACATCTAGTTGCTGATCCTAGCGTAGATCCAGACCATAGCCCCAAGTGCAATGGCTGCAACTGCGATGTTGGACAATGAATTGGCAGAAGAGAGATCCTTGGGGGACGCTTTAGGATCTTCAGAGCTCGTAGCTGAATTGTCACCAGTGGCACAGTTGTTTGTGTTGGCATCCATGAGCATTTGGATCTGTTGTATGGTTTGATCGATTTGTTTGGCATGTTTTTCCAAACGTCTTGCCGTGCACAGCTTGAAAGAGTCGAGATCTTCTTTTAGTTGGGATTGTTTTGCATCAACAATATTGATTTCGTCTACAATTGCCTCATCGACCCACTTGAACAAGTGGTGCTCACTTTTCCTCTGTTAATGATTAAGCGGATTAGATCAGTCTTTCACATGAAGTGATATTGGTAAACAATATATGGTGGGGTTTGAACGTACCTTGAGCCAAATCTCGCATCTGTAGAACCTGCGTAAGAGATTATCCTTGGTTTGAGCACCAAACGTAGTTAGATTAGCTCCACACCAACAACGAGTGGGTATTCCAGTTGTTTGTCTCCTTGAATGTGAGATGGAGGAGGAAGAGGATGAGCTAATGACGAATGTGGAAGTTGAAACGAGTTTGTTAGGGATTTGGGTGGTGATAATCGGTAATGTAAATGAAAAAATAGGAGGGAATTGGGGGCGGGCTAGGGATTGTGGCTCGGTAATTTGTTGGTGTAGATACTTAATGAAAATGAAAGTTCTGTTGAAGTCTGACTTCTAGGTTAAATGAGGTGTACGCAAATTGTGTGGATGTGGACGGAATGACATCCACAATGCTTTGGATGTGATTGTGGACAAAAAATGATTATTGGACACAAAAGAGACAAAGAACAGAGTATCGTAAAACATTAGTAGTCTTAATAGATTAATAAGTCTTAAGTTACATCATAGATAGTGTGGATTATGTAACATCGTAGACAAAAGACCTAAGCACTACGACACTCCCAATATATTAAACCAAAAGGTTGGGAGGAGACATTGATAGTAGCTTCTAATCATCACTGCAGTGGGCAGCATAGTACGCAGGAAGCACCAACGTCTTGTAGATGTCCATTGCGTACTGCTTGCGTATGTCTTCTACAATCTTGTCTGTGATGCCGGCCATTCCAGGGGATGGATCACCATGTGCGTGCAACTCTAGGAACTTCATGGTAACAGGACCGCAATCACCAGAACGACCGTTGATATAGATGTCTGGAATACGGCTGCAGACAAACGGCTTCACACCAGCGAATTGGGTTAGCTCACACATGGCAACTTTCTTCACAAGGTAAGGGAGGCAAGCAAGCACTGGTTTCATCAAGTTACCCATGCGTCTAACTCCATTCAAAGCTGGGAGAGGATCAAGTACTTCTACCAAACCCATGTCGAGGTTGATTGCTAACCCAACCCAGTGAGATTTGTTCCAGAGCATGGGCGTGTAGATGGTGTGGATGTCCTCCATCCATTTATTTCCAGGGCAGAGCACAATGTCCACCAAACGCTTGTCCCAGACGAAAGTGTCCTTCTTCTTCTTACCACACTTGTTGAAAGTGATGAAAGCTTTGTTTATAGCTGAAGCAAGGGTGGGAGGGGCGAAGGATGCTTTTTCATTCTTTAGAATCTCAGAGTGTCTCGCAGAGAGCATGTGGACAAGAATTTTCATTTTCTGGACATTTAACAAATGCTTAGAGTTAAAGACAACACACCATCAGACAATGATCTTGAACAAACAGAGAGGGGGTGTCTTACATATGAGGTTGTCAATTGTTTAGGCTGGGCAATCTCTAGGAGCAATTTGTTTGAAAACTGAAACTCATATGGAGTGCTATGGAACCTGTGAGACAATTACAATTTTAAAAAGGGATGGGATTAAAAAAACAATCCTAAAACTTGACATGAATACAGTACTGAGATGCTGGTAGTAAATCTTACACATCAATGTTGGTTTTGAGGACACTATGGAAAAGCTCCCATTCCCTGTCTGGTAGTGGGGTGATGAGATCCAAAGCAGGAATCAGCGAGGAGTTGAAAAATTCCTTAGCGAGAAGGTTTTCTAGGGGAGATGGAACGTGTCTGGCGGGGTCTTTTGTTGTTCTGAGATCGACGAAGGGATCCTCAGCAGCCTGATTCAATTTTAGTCAAGTAAATGAAAAGTTATTTGATTTGTGAAGGTGATGTAATTATAAATAGGTCATATATAGAAGAAATACCTGATCCTCAGATGTGGGACGTCCAATGCCCGGTGGCGAGTTAGCCGAAGCTGTGGCTTTAAAGGCATTGGGTGTTGTTGCATGGCTCGCGAAACCAAGACCACTTTAATTACTCTTGACCGGTGATTTAAGTGGAGTGAAAGGTAGGGGAGACAAACGTAAACGAATTCGTGGAGGAGAGGATGGACCAGCCGTTTGGTCGAATATGGGACCTGTCGATAGTGGTGGGTCTGGGCTAACAGCCGTTTTGTCGTAAATCCTGAGACCATGATAGAGGATGTGATTAATCTCGGGGCTGTCTGGGTGATCAGCTTTATCGTAGATTTTAGAAGGTGGGTCCCATTGTCCCGGGTATAGCTTTCCGAAAGTACGAGTCTCCGTGGTCTTCTGATCTGCTCGGACAGGAGTTGTGTGGATATCGTCGTCATTTTCATTTGTGGATGCATTCAGATTGTTTGTGTCGTGGACAGGTGAGGGGTGGACATCTTGGTTATCGTTTTCCATTTCATCGACATCCTACCATTCAGACCAAAAAAGAGCAAAATGATGTTTTTTAACTAATTAGAATCGGTGGTGGATGAAAGTTGAATTATGTGGAAGAGGGTATGAGTAAAAATCACCTGGTCTGTAACATTCTCCTCAGTAGTGACCAGTATCCACATCTTACACAAACTGGAATTGTGTGCGTCCTCTGTGTGTTGTTCCATAGTATCTACCACCTAAAATAATAGCATCAAAATCAGACCATGATAAGAGTTAGTCAAGGTTAACAGCGAAACTCAATGATGAGTTGAAAGAAAGAAGGAACGATGTTCTATCTTAAAGGGGGAAGATTTTTATTTTTTTGGGAAAGATTTAACATCACCTGGTCTTCATCTTGATTGTGGTCATTCTCAGGAGAGCTGTGGCTGGTGTCTTTGGTGTTTTCCAAAGAATCAACATCCTACCATGAGAAGAGAAAGAGGTATTAATTACGGTGGTCCCATTAGGAAGCATTTAACATATATGTGGAACAAGAAATGATTGAACCTATTGAACTTTAGCTTGTCTTTGGGATTGAGGTCATCAATGCTCAAGTCACTGTCGTTCGAAATGTGGGATGAAACCAGTGGTGTAGGATCAGGGTCATCTGCTAAACTGTGGTCAGGTGAGCTGTGGACGGTGTCTGTGTTGTTTTCCATAGCATCCACATCCTAACATGATAAAATACAGAATTAGTTAGATAAAGGCGGTCCATTAATTTAGATATGCGTAACCAGGAATTATTGAACGTTACTTGGTGTGTGGAAGCCTGTCGGTGGAGATGAGCTGCGTACTGACTTATGATAGGTGACTGGTGCTCCTCATGATCATCTATCTCCATACCATCCACATCCTATAGGTGACCAAGAAACAGATTATTTATTTTATTATAATTTTTTTCCTTTAACTCAATTGAAACACAAACTGGATTCGGTTGGAGGCTGGTTGAACATCACCTTATCGCTTGGAGGATTGATGTCGAGAGGTCTGGCGTGTGCAGACTCATCACCGCTCTGATGTGTGGCCGGAATATCCTATAAACAAAAGTGAAAGGGTTAATAAGAAACTAGAGAAACTAATGGCAGAGAATGTAAATTTTTATGAATAAAAGTGTGTGTGTACATTATACCTGATCGAAGGGTGCTCCATGTCCTTCTTGTTGAGATGTGCGATGCTTCTTGCTATGAGATAGGACTTTATGGAATGATGATCTCCTTCCATGAGCTTTTCTTTTCATCTTCTTCATTGTTTTTTGCATCTGTTTCATCTGCTTTTGAAGTGTCAACACAATATCCGTTAGTTGTTGGTTGGTCATACTGTTGACATTTGATGGTGTGAAGTAAGAACTTATGCGCCTTTGCTTCCTAGAAGACGACTCCTTGTTGATTTGAAGCTTTGGTTTGGGAGATTGTTTGACCCGAGTGAGCTTCTTCTTCCCGTGACGGTCACAACGATCTTTAGGCTGTTCAAACAAAGGCTCCGTTGTTACCCCACCAGGCCACATTGACTTGTTGAATTTGTACTTATGAGCTATAAGGTCCTCCATGTATGTAACGCGATCGTCCTTAATTTGTTGAATTTGACCACTCTCCCCAACCAGGCTCCGCTTGTCCTTCGATAGCTATGACCGGTGTGACAACAAGCTGAGAACATGAGTAAACCAACATATTTAAATAATCAAGTCAATGGACGAAACACAAGCGGAGAACATGAGTAAACCCAAAAAATTAAGAAATAAAATCAATGGACGAAACACTTCTTAACTCTATATGATACTCGTTGAACATTAGTAGTACTCTGGTACACAAGTAAGAGCTTCTTACTGAATTTGGGACTGTGGACAGTATTTAAGTAGTTAAAAAACTTACTTAAATGCTTACACAAAAATTGCATTTAGGACTGTGGACGTGGACATTAGTTAACTAGTTAAAAAACATTTAAATTCAAACACTACCAGAAAAGGAAAACTTTAGCTAGGTTACTTACATTAGAGTAAAATTCGACACGTAGGATATCAAGAGCACTGATGGAGCCGTGTTGGGGTAGGTAACCATCTTCAAGGTTCATCAGCGTGCGGTGGTTGAGAGCAGCAGGGATGAACTGAAGCAGTTGTGGGATGGCGCGGAAGGCAACTAATTGGAGTGTAAGAGGAAAACCCTGAAGACGGAAAGATTGCTGTTTGAGTTTGTGCACGAGGCAAGCGACAGGATCGTTGATCTTAGGTGGAGCAGGCATGGGTGGTTTCATGCACAAGATGGTCTTCAAGAAAGATTCTCTACCCCAAGGGAAGGCAAAGAATGTTTTGAGACTTGAAAGCATCCTAACATATCGAGGAGTGGGTCGGGGGACTTGTTGGTGAGCAATGAGAACACCGTCGACTATGATAATCAGAGCTATTCGAATCTTCTTCCAACCAGACATGTCCTTCTCTTCCTCAAGCATCTGACAGAGCTCCGCTATAGTTATGATCTTTTTCTTCCCAAAAAGTTTTTTCCAGACTCCATCTTTACCCGCAACAACAGTCTTGGCTGTGTCAGGATGATAATCTTCTGGAAAAGATCCACAATTCAGACCTGTTACAGTTCCAAACTCTTGGAGACCATAATGGAGAGGATTCCCACCAAAAACGGACCAGAGTGTGTGCTCGTCCTCACTTAGTAATTGGCGAGTGAGGAACGAGTGAATGAGATTTGTAGATACGGGAGCTTGACGGGAAGGAATATCGAATAGCTTTCCAAAAGATGACTCTCGGATGATTTTGAACTGTGGAGTATCTCTGAGAAGATGACGAATGAATGCGAGGATCTCCGGTGAAGAATATATGTTGAGCTTGTTGATGGGGGACCTATCAGTCGCAAATAACCTTAACGGGAGACGAGGATCCGGTTGTTTGTTAGCTGGAAATCAAAGATAACAAAATTTAACCGCGAGTAACCAACAAAAAAACAACAGCAATTTGAAATTTTGAAGAAAATCCCTAATAATGTACAAAAATCGGAAATGCAGAAGACGGACAAAGAAATAGAGATGAAGACAGAAAAAACAACAGCAATTGGAAATTTTGAAGAAAAACCCTAATAAGGTACAAAAATCGGAAATGCAGAAGACGGACAAAGAAATGAAATTTGAACAAGAAACACAAGAAATTCGATAATAGGGGAGTAGGAGTAACCGAAATACTAACCTCTGGAAGACTGCGGCGGATCTGAGTCAGGAGAAACAACAGATTTCTTCTTCGCCGTCGGCTGAGAAGACTTGGATTTCTTCTTTGCCATTAAACATCGTCGATTGCAGAAGAACTTGATGTCGAGAAAAAATGGGGTTTGACAACGATGAAAAAGGGTAAAAGGGATTTCGAAAAGGGGAAAGTAGAAGTTATCGGATCTGGATTTAGAAAAGGTTTGGGTTTTGATTTGTCGTAAAGGTAAAAGGTGGAACCAGAGTTAAATTCTCTGTGGTTAGGTCAACGTGGAGTGGTAAGAAACGAGGGTAACGATGACTTTCAACAGAGTTTCAACAGTGATAATGTGTTCCCCAAGTGGGAAGTGTCTAAATGAGTAAATAATAAGACAAAACGTGTCTTAGGAGGTAAAAAAAAATCGAAGTATAATTTGCACAATTTACATGTTTTTTTGTTTGTTTTAAAGATGACTGGAATTTCATCCTCAACACTCTCACTAGACCCTTTTCTCCAACTTATCTCTAGACACAAGTAATCGGGAACTGCTTTTGGTGGCCGCGGTTACCAACACCTCTTTTTGTTTTTTTATGTAAATATACTTTTCGATCTATAAATCGAACTTAGTTTTCCTTTTAGCGGATCTTTCTTTTCCCTTGGGGATTTTGCGGTGCTTTTAATCCAAAGTTGAAGCTGTCGGTTCATATTTATCTTATCTCTTCATTTTTGGGTTGAACAATAAGTCCCGATCATTAGATCGGTCTCCTCCTCTGCAAAATTATCAAATTCCATTTGTTTGTGTCGGTTTCTCTTTCTATTCAATGATACACACTTAATCATGTTGAACAAGAGTTAATCTTTACTTAAAATCAATAAAGAGGATATGCTTGAGTAATGTATCTTTGCAACAAGAAAGTAGTGAAGTTAGATTAGCATCGGTTGATTTAACGGAGGTTTAGAAGAGCCGGTGTTTACTGGGACGGTCTAGCAAAAGATATTATGTTGGTCGATTTGATCTATCTCGCATTTATAATCGGCCGTTGATGGAGAGCCATAACACAAGCGAAGGTTGGAGTAGAAGAGTTAGAAGGTTTTAGCGTTTACATCGAGGATATCATGTATTCTCAGGTGGTGAGAAGCAAAAGATGGAAGTTTGATTGCAGAAGGTTCCCGGCGGCGACGAATCGAGGAGGCGGAGACTACAGTCTCGGAAGGACAGCGATCGTATACCGATCTCTATTTTGGATCTATTAGGACTTCTCTTATTTTAGTGTTATTGGACCTCGTTTGTAAATGTTAAACCTTGTAAAACTGCCCAATGGGCTAGTTTCAATGAAACTCTGTTGACAAAAAAATTAATAATATTAAAGACGACTGTTTCGTGAAATCATCTGGTTTGTCCCGACATCTATCTGGTATGTCCTAACATCAAAAGGCTATTATATTACTCAAGCTTGAGGTGGTCCGAGAATCCAGACCGGAATAGAACAACCAACGAAACACAATGGCGATAAAAAGTACGTGCAACCCTAGCTAAAAATTACGAGCAGCCCTAGCTAAACCATCTGCGGTCCGATTTTGCGTCTTTGGCACATATGAGATCTTAAAGTCTGGAAGTATGGTCTTCAGTAGGGCGAGCTCTCCTAGTTCTGTTAAGAAGCTTGGCGAGTCCGTCGAATTCTGTATCATTGCCATAACATTTCTACAGTCCGTCCCAAAGTGCTGACAGGCATTATTTTGAATCATCATCTCCATCGCCCACATCAGTGCTTCCAATTCTGCGTGCAAAAAAGACATACGGTTTTCTTTGTTCCTTAGACCTAAGAACTGTTCCTTCCCTAGTCCATCCATATCCACTTCGGACTGCTTCCGCTGTCCATGATCCATCCACTAGACAAATGTCTTTCAAGCTTAGGACTTGCATATCCATTTGATATGTCAGGTCTACTTTAGTTTTTTTTTATATTTGCTTCAAACCAAGCATTGTATTCACTTTCTGCATGTCTCACCAATTCAAGGGGATCTCTTGAGATGCCTCTGAAAAGTTTATCATTCTGTTGTTTCCATAAGAACCAAACAATCCAAGGGCAAGGGTCCTTATCTAGAACAGGGCCTTAAATCTCATTCTTTCGCCAAAACAGGTAGTTCATATTTACAAATATACTCGTTTTTGGGAAGGTTCCTGGGCGTGAGGGTGTCAATGCAATGGTCCATGTCTGCAAGGCCGGTGGACATTCAAAGATAGCATGGTTAGCAGATTCATCTGGTTCACCATATCTGGGGCAAAAATTGTCGCAACGCATTTGGCGTCTTGTCAGATTCCCCGTGACTGCTATATATCCAGATACCAGCTGCCATATGAGGTGGGATATTATATCCCTTTTCTACTTGTATTTTTGTTTTCAGTTAGTTCTAAGTAAATTACATATAAATCATCATAAGTGATGATATTTACATTGGGAACTAAGTCAAACGTACTCAATAACCCATCAGATCTAAACGGATTTTAAAATCACTTACCCCAAACCTGAAATCATTGGCTCTCAAAAATATTTGATCGAAATTTTTTAAGGGATATTAATCTCATCCGAAACTAGGGAGAATTAGCAGAGAAAGAAACAAACTAGGAGATTTTAATTTTTTCATTGATCGCGATTTCGATTCAGGAAGAGTTAAATGCATGAATTTGTTTTCTTTGAAGTCGAATGGGTGTCACGTCTCTCTTTTTTCAAGTATATAGTGTGGATAGTCAGTTGTTCTAAACTTAGGAGGGAAGAAAAAACTAATAGCAAAGAAACGATGACCTAGAAGGAAGAAAACAAAACGAAGCGTGTAACAAAGATAACTTCTCTTGAAAAAGAAGTTCAGAAGTAAAGACAAACACAATTAAGGATGAAATAGAAAACCAAGAAGAGAATGAGTCAGTTAAAAACAAAAAGACGCGAACACAGTTGAAGATGATGTATAAAAAAAAAGAGAAAACGAGAACTCAGTTAAAAGGAAAGAAGGCGCGAACACAAACAATTAAAGATGAAATACAAGAAGAAGTAAATGAGAATTCAGCAGAAGGGGAAAAAAAGAGCTAATCAGTTAAGGATGAGGTAGAAGAAGAAGATAATGAGAAACAAGATAACTCA